TACAAAACATTAGCTGGGCATGGTGGCGTGTGCCTGTAATCCCAGCTACTCAGGAGGCTGAGGCAGGAGAATTGCCTGAACCCAGGAGGCGGAGGTTGCGGTGAGCAGAGATCGCGCCATTGCACTCCAGCCTGGGTAACAAGAGTGAAACTCTGTCTCAAAATAAATAAATTAATTAAAAAAAATAAAATAAAATAAAAAACAATTTAAAAATTTTAACTAATTAAAAAACATCTAAAGATTAATAGAAAAGAAAATGTCACTGTGTCTCAACTGGGGAACCAAGGAGGGGGGGTTTGTCCAGGTTTGGGGGGGAACTTACAGTGAGAGCAGCATCCCCACCACAGGGGGCAGAGTCAAGAGTCCCTCACACGCCACCTCCAGGGGCTCTTCTCTGCTCCAGTGGTGGTGGGAACCCCTTGGTCATGAGTTAAGGCAGGTGGGTCAGGGGCCAGGAAGGAGGGAGGAAGCAGGAGCAAGGGGAGAGGCAGGAGGGCTGGAGGGAGACAGAGAGACAGAGAGAAGGGGGAGGGGGCTGGAAAGAGAGGGGAAAGGACAGGGGAGAGAAGCTGGAGGGGGCCAGAAGGAGATGGGGAGAGGGAGGTGGAGGGAGGCTGGAGGGAGATGGGAAGGAGGAAGGAGAAGGGGGCTGCAGGAGATGGGGAAGAGGAGGGAGATGGGGGAGGGAGATGGAGGGGGAGAAAGGGATGAGGAGCGGGTGAGGAGGAAGGGAGGGGCTGGGCTGGAGTCCTCGGGGACAGGGCACCCACCTGAGTGGATGTGAGCATGCAGTTTGAGGTAATGCTCCCGCCGGAAGAACTTCTTGCACACCTGGCACTTGAACCTGCCCCCGCTGCCGTGGGTGGGCAGATGACAGCGCAGGTAGCGTTCACAAGGAAACACCTGGCAAAGAAGAGGGGCCTTCAGGTCTGACTCACCAGGCCCACTGCCCCACCCCGCCCCCCGTCTGAGCCCCTATAGAGACACCTTCCTTTCTGGCTACCAGGGGCCAGGACTCAGAATGTCAGCCTCAGCCCTTAGAACTTCATGGCTCCCCCGACTTACCTGCCAGCCCAGCCAAAACATGGCTGCCCCAAGCTTTTGCCTGGATGTTCTTCCCACCCAGAGAGCCTTTCTCTCTTTTCTCACAAACTTTTACACATCCTTCAAGACCCAACTGGGGTATCACTGCTTCTGTCAAACCTTTCCTAGCTCCCTGGTACCATGCCTGGCAAAGCCAATTCTGCCTTTGAATGTCCACCCACACTTTTAAGTCAGCATTTAACCTACTGATGACAGCCCTTTGCTTACACAGGAGCTCCAAGCAGGCAGAGAAGGGTTTTCATTTCCCAGCACAAAGCCTGGGTCAAATGACCGACAAGTAAAAGAATGAATGGAAGATGAACAAATTACTAATGAATGGAAAGGTAATTTTATTTGTTTGTTTGTTTATTTGTTGAGACAGAGTTTTGCTCTTGCTGCCCAGGCTGGAGTGCAATGGTGTAATCTCAGCTGACCGCAACCTCCGCCTCCCGAGTTCAAGAGATTCTCCTGCCTCAGCCTCCAGAGTAGCTGGGACTACAGGCATGCGCCACCATGCCCAGCTAATTTTGTATTTTTAGTAGACACGGGGTTTCTCCTTGTTGGTCAGGCTGGTCTCAAACTCCCAATCTCAGGTGATCCACCCACCTCAGCTTCCCAAAGTGCTGGGATTACAGGCGCCCACCACCATGCCTGGCTAATTCTTGTATGAAAGGTAATTTTTTTTAAAGCCAGAAAACACAGAAGTGAACATCTCTTTCCAATCCAGGCATAGGAAGGGCGTGTATTCATGCATTCATTCATGTGTTCATTTTGGCAGAGCATGAGTCAGGGGCACAGACCCAGCTGGCCTACTGCTTATTAACCCCATCATTTCCTAGCTAGGTGACCTTTCTGTCTTGGTTTCCCCACCGGTAAAGGGGGATAGTAATCTCCTAGTCAATTTCAGTTACATGCTCAGAACAGCATCTGGCATGTGGTTCTTGCTCAATTCATGGTATCTTTTACTTGAGCCACAACTTCTTTTTTTTTTTTGAGACGGAGTTTCACTCATGTTACCCAGGCTGGAGTGCAATGGCGCGATCTCGGCTCACCGCAACCTCCGCCTCCTGGG